GGCCATTCACTACACTCTCCTTACATGCAGAGAAGCCGCAGATTCCTCGAGTACTTTGGTGGACTACTGCCTAGAAAGGCATAAGGTAAGGTTCATGAAAAAGTCATTATTTGACGTCTCACGATCTCCAGCGATGATTTCGGCCGTTCATTTAATTCTCCTTCAACGCATAGGAGCTGTAGATTCGTCGAGTCCTTTGGTGTATCACTCCTCAGAATCTCATCAAGATAGGTTCATGACAAGGTTATCAATCTACGTATCACGTCCCCTAACGACGAGTTAGGCCATTCACTATATTCTCCTTACATGCAGAGAAGCCGCAGATTCCTCGAGTATTTTGGTGCACTACTGCCTAAAAGGGCATAAGGTTGGATTCATGAAAATGTCATAAATCGACGTGTCACGTCCTCCAACGATGATTTCGACCATTCATTTAATTCTCCTTCAACNTTGTAATCGCTACGGAAAAGCAAACAATAAATATATGGTAGATGAATTTAATCCTAACGAACCTACATCATATTTAATGTATTACGACGTAAACAATTTGTATGGTTATGCAATGAGTTTTCCACTACCTGAAGGAAAATTCGAATGGGTCCATGACATTTACTCAATTAATATTGAGTGGACTACTGCCTAGAAAGGCATAAGGTAAGGTTTATGAAAATGTCGTAAATCGCCGTCATAGGTCCTGAAACGATGATTTCGGCCATTCTTTTCATTCTTTATCAACGCATAGAAGCTGTAGATCCGTCGAGTCCTTTGGTGTATCAGACTTCAGAATCGCTTTAAGATAAGTTCATGAGAAAGTCATCAATCTACGTATCACCTAATCTAACGAAGAGTTAGGCCATTCACTTTATTCTCCTTACATGCCGAGAAGCAGCAGCTCGAGTCCTTTGGCTTACTACTGCCTAGAAAGGCATAAGGTAAGGTTCATGAAAATGTCAGAAATCGACGTGTCGCGTCCTCCAACGATGATTTCGACCATTCATTTAATTCTCCTTTAACGCATAGAAGCTGTAGATTCGTCGAGTCTTTTGGTNTCCTTCACCGTTCAATAAAAATCCAAATAGAACAACATCATATCCACACTTTAGTAGAATCCTTAAGTATGAAGGAATTAATTTTCCAATTCAATTGAAGGATATAAATAAATTTGAAAAAATTAACAATTTATCCATTAATGTTTTCACACTTGATAAAAGTAGTATTGTACCCATTTGTTTGAGTAAAACCGATTTTACACCTCATATTAACTTATTAATGATTCCGTGTGATAATTTAAATTGCGATATTGATGATAAAAATAATTTTTCAGATTCCTCTACTGAGTTTAATGAAACAAATGTTGAATTAAACAGAACATTTCATTTTGCATTAATTAATGACCTTTCGCGACTGTTACACAAACAAATGAAAAACAATAAAATTAGAAAATGGATATGTAACCGTTGTCTCAACAACTTTACATCAAAGCAGACTTTAGAAACGCATTTAATTGATTGTAAAAATTTAAACAGGACAAAAATCACTTTGCCAAAAGATAACGAAAAGTTTTTAAAATTTAAAAATTTTAAAAATAAGGAATTTGTACCGTTTGTAATTTATGCTGATTTGGAAAGTATACTAGTTAAACACAATGACTTAAAATGTACAAGTAAAATGCAAAAGTATCAGAAACACGAGCCTTTCAGTATTGCATATTATCTAAAGTGTTATTATGATGATTCTCTTTCTAAATTTAAGTTATACACAGGGAAGGATTGTATTACATGGTTCGTTAAGGAACTTGAAACTTTAGCTTTCGAATTTAAAAATATTTTTTTAAACATTATTCCAATTAAAAAATTATCATATGAACAAGAAAATCAACATCTTACTGCTACATATTGTCATATTTGTTGTAAACCATTTAGTAGTGAAAATGTTAAAGTGAAGGATCACTGTCATTTAACAGGAAATTATAGAGGTCCAGCGCATTCAAATTGTAACTTGAATTATAAGAATAGTCATACAATACCTGTAATTTTTCACAATTTATCCGGATATGACAGTCATTTCATAATTAAAGCTTTAAGCGTAGAAATAAAAGGTAATATTTCTTTATTGCCGGTTAATAAAGAGAAGTATATTTCATTCACAAAATATATAGAAAAAACTAATGTAAGTTTTAGATTTTTAGATTCTTTTCGTTTTATGGCTAGCAGCTTAGATAAATTATCATCTTATTTAGAAAAGAAACAAAAAATTATCACAAGGAAGTATTACCAAAATGATGAAGAATTTGAATTAGTTCAGCGTAAGGGAGTTTTTCCGTATGAATATCTAGACTGTTGGGAAAAATTACAAGATATTAAATTACCACCTCGAGAATGTTTTTATAGTTCAATTTATGATTGTAACATTTCTCAAACGGAATACGATCATGCATGTAATGTGTGGAAGACATTCAAAATTAATAATTTGCAAGAGTATGCAGAATTATATCTAAAAACAGATGTGCTATTGCTTGCTGATATATTTGAAAATTTTAGATCAACATGTTGGACAACATATAAATTAGATAGTTTACATTATTATACTGCACCAGGTCTTGCTTTTGATAGTATGTTAAAAATAACAGAAATTGAATTAGAACTATTAACCGATATAGATATGATAATGTTTATAGAACGAGGTATAAGAGGGGGGATATCACAATGTTGTAATCGCTACGGAAAAGCAAACAATAAATATATGGTAGATGAATTTAATCCTAACGAACCTACATCATATTTAATGTATTACGACGTAAACAATTTGTATGGTTATGCAATGAGTTTTCCACTACCTGAAGGAAAATTTGAATGGGTCCATGACATTTACTCAATTAATATTGATGACATTAATGATAATAATGAATACGGTTACATATTTGAAGTCGATATACATTATCCAGATGCATTACACGAAACACACAAAGATTTACCGTTACTTCCTGAACATTTAGTCCCACCTACATCTAGCTCAAAGACACCTAAACTGTTAACAACACTTTTTGATAAGAAAAAATATATCATTCACTATAAAAATTTAAAACAAGCATTAAGCTTAGGTATTAAACTTGAAAAAATTCATAGAGTACTNTTCCTCGAGTACTTTGGTGGACTAGTGCCTAGAAAGGCATAAGGTAAGGTTCATGAAAATGTCATAAATCGATGTGTCACGTCCTCCAACGATGATTTCGACCATTCATTTAATTCTCCTTTAACGCATAGAAGCTGTAGATTCGTCGAGTCCTTTGGTGTATCACACCTCAGGATCGCGTCAAGATAGGTTCATGAGAAGGTCATTAATCGACGTATCACGTCCCCTAACAACGAGTTAGGCCATTCGCAAGATTCTCCTTACATGCCGAGAAGCAGCAGATTCCTCGAGTACTTTGGTTTACTACTGCCTAGAAAGGCGTAAGGTAAGGTTCACGGAAATGTCATAAATCGACGCGTCACATTCTCCAACGATGATTTCGGCCATTCATTTAATTCTCCTTCAACGCATAGAAGCTGTAGATCCGTCGAGTCCTTTGGTGTATCACACATCACAATCGCTTCAGGATAGGTAAATGAGAAAGTCATCAATCTACGTATCACGTAATCTAACGAACTGTTAGGCCATTCACATTATTCTCTTGACGTGCAGAGAAGCAGCAGGTTCCTCGAGTACTTTGGTGGACTACTGCCTAGAAAGGCTTAAGGTAAAGTTTATGATAATGTTATAAATAGACGTCTCACGTTCTCCAACGATGATTTCGGCAGTTCATTATCTCTCCATCAACGTACAGAAGCTGTAGATTCGTCAAGTCCCTTGGTGTACCATTCGTCAGAATCTCATCAAGATATGTTCATGAGAAGGTCATCAATCTACGTATTACGTAATCTAACGAAGAGTTAGGCCATTCACTTTATTCTCCCGACAAGCAGAGAAGCAGCAGATTCCTCGAGTACTTCGGTGGACTACTGCCTAGAAAGGCATAAGGTAAGGTTCTTGAAAATACCATAAATCGACGTGTCACGTCCTCCAACGATGATTTCGACCATTCATATAATTCTCCTTCAACGCATAGAAGCTGTAGATTCGTCGAGTACTTTGGTATATCACACTTCAGAATCGCGTCAAGATAGGTTCATGAGAAAGTCATCAATCTACCTATCACGTAATCAAACGAAGAGTTAGGCCATTGACTTTATTCTCCTGACATGCAGAGAAGCAGCAGATTCCTCGAGTACTTCGTTGGTCTACTGCCTAGAAAGGTATAAGGTAAGGTTCATGAAAATGTCATAAATCGACGCGTCACATTCTATAACGATGATTTCGGCCATTCATTTAATTCTCCTTCAACGCATAGAAGCTGTAGATCCGTCGAGTCCTTTGGTGTATCACACTTCACAATCGCTTCAAGATAGGTATATGAGAAAGTCATCAATCTACGTATCACGTAATCTAACGAACAGTTAGGCCATTCACTTTATTCTCTTGACGTGCAGAGAAGCAGCAGGTTCCTCGAGTAGTTTTTTGGACTACTGCCTAGAAAGGTGTAATGTATCGGCACTTAGATTGTCAAAACGCTTATTCAGCGGGCAATCGATAATAAATAAATTAATATTAAGATAAGCAAACACTATGTAAAGGGAGAGGAAGTTGTAATGTATCGGCTCTTGGGTATGTGTATGTTACAAGGTCGACAAAGAAGATTAGTCTCAAGTGATAACACAGGAGAGCTGTGCTGACCGTCGAAAGGGCATATACATACGAAAGGCCGCTCTCTGTATTACGTTGGTATCTTCTGTATACGATTGTCTACACCAATTAAATACTTATAATTATAATTATATCAGTGGTTGATTATTGGGTTCCACCTCGTACATAACACAAGATACAATTAAATACAGTAAAAAGAAAAGGTGAAAAGGGAAAAGGACCAATAGTAGAAAAGTGGAAGTTAGAGAGGAGGAATTACTTTAGACACACACATACATCTAATGTAAATAAGAATAACAATTTTGTTAACAAAGCTATTATCTATCTATCTATTTACCAATTGATTACTGACGACAAGAGGTCCGCCTGAGTCTCCAGAGCAAATGCCTTTATCCACTCCTCCAGAACAAATTATCGAGTTGGTAATGAACGAACCGAAGTTTTCTTGACACACGTCGTTTGCTATAACCGGAACGTCGACATATCGCAATACGTCACTCAGATCGTCAGAAGAACTAGAAAACAATCCCCAACCACTTGCTACTGCCTCCGATCCTGCGAAACTATTCGAAACGTCAGCTCTACTAGGAAGTGCTATCAGTTGAACGTACTCTGCGGCAAATTTAATTTACTTTGGTAAAAAGTTACAGAGGAAGCAGAATAGACACCAAAAAATGATAAGTGCAAAAATAATCGAAGATGCTGTAGTAAGGCCGCTATTTCAAGAAGTTAATCTCATAAATTGTTTAGCTCAAGGGTATGTGTAACTAATAAAATTAAATCAACATTTGTATACCCTAAGTAAAGCCCATGCAGCCAGTCGTTACATTACTGTTCAGTGGCGTGCTTTCAATATCTCAACCACTTCTAAAAATAGCGGCCCTGTTATAGATTATAATTATAATATACAGACATTGGAAAATTAGGAGATAGTTACGATTGAGGTTGGCTGGTGTTGGAAGATAGATAACGCCTAAATCATTCTGTCCTGTTTGATTATTAAAATTTTCATGGTGTTTGAACGTTGTGCTCGAAATGAGTTGTTGGGTAGATTCAGATCGACGAAGGTTATGCGCTCCAAGTATCACTTGTGCTGATATAAGTCTAATAAAAGAATAAAAAGTAAAATGCAGATGAAGATAACAATTAAGAGCAAATGTCTTACCCATCCGCCAAACAATGTGCAGCTGTTAACACGTATCTACTGCTGATGAGAGATCCACCACAGAAATACCCTCCTTCTTTGTCATTAAGTAGCAAAGCGACCTAAATCAGTAAACATATTATATTGTATGTAGAAACCAGTCGCACCTGATGGAACAGACATTCCACTGTCGGTGGAATATGGATTGCGGTTCCTATGAATGGCTAAGAGAAGAGTATGTAGTTTTGAACTCTAATGTGTAAGCCTGAATAATAAAAGATATAAGGAAAAATATTTTAGTTTATACCTAGATCAGCAGTTTACCACGAATTTGGCTACACCCTTTCACATTTCATAAAATTAACCCAGTTTTTTCTATATGCCTCCCAGCATTTTACAAATTTAAGGAATTGTAATACATTTTACAAATTATAAGCCCTTAGATTTCTGTCCCTTCAAAATTTGACCAATCGCCCAAATTTGGGTGATTGTCACCAATGGGCCAACAAAAAAATTTCGGAATCCATTTTCGCCTTGGCTAAAACCGAACTCATAAACTTTATTGTAACATTGTGTATATAATTTCCAAAATTATATCCATATTTCATTTTCCTGCAATTAAATTCACGTAACTTTCAAAATGCGAAAGTATAATGTACAATTGCCGTTTAAATTGGATCGACTTTGCGAAACGCCAAACAGATTCACAAAAGTATGGTCGATGTAGACGGACACAGAATTCCAAAAATTCCATATAACGATAACGAAAATAAATACTATATAGAATCCAAAAAAAAAGCGATGGTAAATAAGGGACGGGGAGATTAAGATAAATGCCCACGAAGCAGCCGTGAAGTTCTAAGAATGAGGTGATCTATCGGAGCGTATTAGCCCGAGTCCAAAGGAGACCGATGATTTAATCTCGATTCACTTATATTTTTTTTTATAAAGTGCACATTACATATACAGGGTATCTCACGATGAATTATTAGAATATTTCCGAAACTATTTCGACTTAAATTTTAAAAATTAATACAATGGTGTTATTGGGTATGGTCTCCTCAATTAAAAAAACGGCGTCTATGTAGGTCTTCCGGTTATACCAGAAATTGACATCAACCTTATATATATTACGATCATTTTGAATTCTACTTATGATTCTAGAGAGACTTTCATAAAGCTTTTCTACTTCTAAAATTTACAATTTCCGAGATATTAATTTTTTTTTCAAAAAAGTAGCNGAAACGTAAAATTTGTAGAGGGGGAGAAAGTCTGGGTGATGGATTACTCGACTAATCCTGAAAAAAAAATAACAGCAATTATTACGGCTCAACTTTCACCTGTAAACTTCGAGGTTGAAATTTCGCCGGGAGTAGTATGGAAAAGGCATGTTGACCAAATGTTAACATATAAAGATCCAGTTAGTCAGATGGCGACCACAACTGAACCCAAGAAATCTCAACCTGAAGTAACTGCAATTAGATTGTCAAAACGCTTATTCAGCGGGCAATCGATAATAAATAAATTAATATTAAGATAAGCAAACACTATGTAAAGGGAGAGGAAGTTGTAATGTATCGGCTCTTGGGTATGTGTATGTTACAAGGTCGACAAAGAAGATTAGTCTCAAGTGATAACACAGGAGAGCTGTGCTGACCGTCGAAAGGGCATATACATACGAAAGGCCGCTCTCTGTATTACGTTGGTATCTTCTGTATACGATTGTCTACACCAATTAAATACTTATAATTATAATTATATCAGTGGTTGATTATTGGTTTTCACCTCGTACATAACAATTGGCGACGAGTCTAAAAGAACCGGAAAACGTGTAAGCAAATGTCGGATGACAATAATAGTGACTTGGGGAATAATGAAGTAACGGACAGCCGAGTGAGTGAGTTATCAAGAAAGGAAGCGTGTACGTTATTGGTTTCTAAAGGTGTGCAGTTTGATAATAAAGACAGTACTAAGAGATTAAAGAAAAAGTTATTGTCGCAACTGCAAAAAGAGTTTGAAGAGAAAACGCAAGAAGAAAGCAAAAGTAAGTCGGACAAGACAACGACAAGTACAGAAGTAAGCAGCGCAGATGTAATGGCATCAATGGATTCAAAAATACGTTTAGAATTTGAACTTGGCCAGGATGATTGGGAAATATTCATCGAAAGATTAGAGTTGTTTTTCTTGGTAAACAACTTAACGGAAGATAAGAAGAAAGCGGCAATTTTGCTAACGAAGGTAAACGCTGACGCCTACAAATTAGCTAGAAATTTATGTCATCCCGAACAGCTTAAAGATAAGAAGTTTACAGAAATAGTTAAGCTTATAAGTGATCATTTGTGTCCAAAACCGTCAGAATCATTAGAATGTTACAAGTTTTACGGAGCAAAGCAAGCGAAAACAGAAACGATAAGTGATTTCGTAGCGAGACTTAAGGAGTTGTCTCTGAATTGTAATTTTACATCTGTGGATTACATGATAATACTACTAAAATCCAACTTTTTAAAGAAAGTGCGTTAACGTATGAACAAGCGTTAAAAATAGCAATTTCATGTGAGAAAGCTGAGAAAAATGCAGCGTCTACAAGCACGAAAAATGAGGCAAGTGGATATCAAAGTAACGTGAATTTCGTGAAAAAAGATGATTCTCGTATAAACTACAGGAAAAAAAATCAAAGAATGTACACGAAAATGCCGGAACAAGGAAAGAACAGAAAACGAGTAAAGATGATATAGTTTGTTACTGCTGCAATAAAAAGGGGCATTTCGCAAAGGAATGTAAACATAAGTACGAGAAGTGCCGAAAATGCAATTGTCAAGGACATTTGGAAGCCGCATGTAGGAGCCAACGAGGAAAAGTACAACACATTCAAGAAGAGGAAAAGGGAAAGTCCAGTAGCAGTTCAAGCGAAGAGGACGTATACGAAATTCAAAACATGACGACTAGCGGTAATAGCTATCATATAAATAATGTAGTAAGCGATAACTTAGCGCGAGCACCGATGTATGTCAACGTAAATGTAAATTCGAAAAATTTAAAAATGGAAGTAGATACGGGATCGTTTTGGAGTATTATATCGAACGAAACGAAAAGTAAATATTTTCCAAACATTAAGACTAGTGAAATTTCGTTCGCGATGAATGCATATAATATGAAAATAAAACCAGTGGGTCTGTTACGTAACTTAAAAGTTCGCTTTAATAAACAAGAGTATACGTTAGATGTTTTGGTACTACCGGGAGAAGGCTCGACATTATTAGGAAGGTCGTGGTTACATGCTTTCGGGCTCTGGCCTCTATTTCGAATAAATGAAATTAAAGCAAACGATGATTTAGCAAATAGAGTAGCAAACGATTTTTCGACTTTGTTTGGAGAAGGTAGTGGTTGTTACAATAAAGGTACAATAAAGTTGATGCTAAAAGAAAACACAATCCCAAAAGCATGTAAGGTACGACACGTGCCAGTCGCTTTACGAGAAAAAATCGAGACCGAATTAAAACGTTTAGAAAAAGTCACATTGAACGCGTCCAAGCAAGCGATTGGGCAACGCCAATCGTACCGATAATCAAATCCGATAAAACAGTACGTATTTGCGGGAATTTTAAAATAACGGTTAACCCATGTTTAGTTGTAAACAGACACCCACTACCAACAATCGACGAAATTTTTGAGCAATTACAAGGAGGAGAAAAAATTACGCAAATTGACTTAGCACACGCGTACATGCAAATACCGATTCATCCAGATTCGCGAGACATGTTAACGATTATTACGCATATTGGCCTTTTTCGCTATACTAAACTTACGGAGGGAGTAGCGTCGGGACCGGGAGAATTTCAGAGAATCATAGAAAGTTGTTTACAAAATATAAACGGTCAAGTTGCTATTTATTTAGATAACATTTTTGTAACTGGTAAGAACGACAAAGAACACATTGATACGTTACATAAAGTTTTAAAGCGACTTGAAGAAAATGGATTTCGCGTAAATGTAAAGAAGTGTGATTTTATGAAAAGAGAATTGGAAATTTTAGGATTTGTAATTCGTAACGGTCAACTATGCACGTCAGAAAAGAAAGTAGAAGCGTTAGTGAAGGCACCAATACCGAAAAATAAAAAACAATTACTGTCTTTCCTAGGATTAGTAACTTATTACGAACGTTTTTTACCAAATCGAGCATGGCGTTTGAAGCCACTGTATGATTTAACAAAAAATGTAGATTATAAATGGAACGACGATTGTAACAAAGCGTATGCATGGCTAAAAAATGAAATAGCGTCACCCAAAGTTTTAGTAAATTACGATCCGACGCAAGAACTTGTACTTGCGTGCGACGCGTCTAATTATGGGCTTTCAGCGATCCTATCACACCGTTACTCAAATGGCGAGGAAAGACCGATTGCATTTGCGTCAAAAGTAATACCGGAAAAGGAACAGAGGAGAGCCATCATTGATAAGGAGGCAGCAGCAATCGTGTTTGGTTTCAAGAAATGTTATAATTACGTTTACGGCCGAAAAATAATTTTGAAAACCGATCATAAACCTTTGGTGTATATTTTCGGACCGAACCAAGAAATACCGTTGACTGCAGCTAGTCGCCTTCAAAGATGGGCTTATTTTTTGTCTCATTTTACTTATAAAATTGAATATGTAAATACAAAAAAGAACGGTAATTGCGATGCACTGTCAAGATTACCGGTAGACGACAAAATGCAAATTTTCAGTAAGAATTTTCAAACAATTAATTACGTTGAAGAAGAATTAAAAATCATAAGAGCTGAAGTAATAGCCAAAGAAACAAAAAAGGATAAAACCTTGAGTAAGATAATAAAGTATGTACAAGGTGAATGGCCAAAGCAAGAAAATCTTACTGAAAACGAGCAAAAATACTATGCGAAAAGAAACGAACTGTACATTGAAAGAAATTGTTTACTATGGGGATATCGCGTAATTATTCCGGGTAAACTAAGAGAAAGAATGCTGAATGAATTGCACGAGTCACATTTCGGTAGCGTTAAAATGAAAATGCGAGCGAGATCTTACATTTGGTGGCCGAATATTGATAAAGATTTAGAGGAATTAGCGGCTACTTGTAAAGTATGCATGAAGGAGCGAAAAACTCCACCTAAAGTACCGTTAAATCCGTGGCCGACACCCAGTAAATGTTGGAGTAGAATTCACAGTGACTTTTTAGGACCATTTAATGGGCATATGTTTATGGTTGTAATAGACGCGTACAGTAAATGGCCGGAAGTAATTGATATGAAAACCGATACAAGAACCGAAAGTACTATAAAACAATTTAAAAAAATTTTTTCGCGTTTCGGGTTGCCAAATCATTTAGTGACAGATAATGGGCGACAATATACCAGCAATGAATTCGCGTTGTTCATGAAAGAAAACGGCATTAAACACACGTTTTCAGCGCCGTATCACCCAGCCACAAATGGCGCAGCAGAAAATTTTGTAGGTATATTTAAAGACAAAGTAACAAAAATGTTAAAATCGGGAAAAACACTTTCAGACGCGGTCGAAAAATTTTTATTTGATTACAGAAGTACTGAACATTGTTCGACGAAACGATCACCATCATTTTTAATGTTCAAACGCGAAATGAAAACAAAACTTGACGTCGCAAAACCAAATGTAACAGATACAATAGAACAAGCGCAGTTGCAGCAAACACTGAACCGTCGTGGATCGCGAAACGTAAAATTTGTAGAGGGGGAGAAAGTCTGGGTGATGGATTACTCGACTAATCCCGAAAAAAAAATAACAGCAATCATTACGGCTCAACTTTCACCTGTAAACTTCGAGGTTGAAATTTCGCCGGGAGTAGTATGGAAAAGGCATGTTGACCAAATGTTAAAATATAAAGATCCAGTTAGTCAGATGGCGACTACAACTGAACCCAAGAAATCTCAACCTGGAGTAACTGCAATTAGATTGTCAAAACGATTAGCGAATAAGCGGGCAATCGATAATAAATAAATTAATATTAAGATAAGCAAACAATATGTAAAGGGAGAGGAAGTTGTAATGTATCGGCACTTGGGTATGTGTATGTTACAAGGTCGACAAAGAAGATTAGTCTCAAGTGATAACACAGCAGAGCTGTGCTGACCGTCGAAAGGGCATATACATATGAAAGGCCGCTCTCTGTATTACGTTGGTATCTTCTGTATACGATTGTCTACACAAATTAAATACTAATAATTATAATTATATCAGTGGTTGATTATTGGGTTCCACCTCGTACATAACATCTAACATCTCGTGGAAGTAGCTTCGCTAGAGGGCTAGCTTTTCACACCCCACTCGTTGGAGCCTCGCAACAATACGGCTCCAATGTAAGTTGTCAAACGCGCTTGAGAAGTCGATAAACAGGCCTAGAACATAACGTTTTTCGGATATGCTCACCGTCCGCTTCACTTGAAGCCAGGCACTTTCGGTGCACTGGTCAGGCTTGAATCTGCTTTTCACTTTGCTATACTGCTTTACCATCCGGGATTGGTCAGATCTNCGTACATATCAAAAGGCTTAAGGAAAAGTTTATGATAATGTTATAAATAGACGTCTCACGTTCTCCAACGATGATTTCGGCCATTCATTTAATTCTCCTTCAACTCATAGAAGCTGTAGATTCGTCGAGTCCTTTGGTGTATCACACCTCAGAATCGCGTCAAGATAGGTTCATGAGAAGGTCATCAATCGACGTATCACGTCCCCTAACAAAGAGTTAGGCCATTCACAAGATACATCGACGTGTCACATTCTCCAACGATGATTCCGGCCATTCATTTGATTTTCCTTCAACGCATAGAAGCTGTAGATCCGTCGAGTCCTTTGGTGTATCACACTTCAGAATTGCTTTAAGATAAGTTCATGAGAAAGTCATCAATCTACGTATAACATAATCTAACGACCCGTTAGGCCATTCACTTTATTCTCCTGACATGCAGGGAAGCAGCAGGCTCCTAGAGTACCTTGGTGGACTACTGCCTAGAAAGGCATAAGGTAAGGTTTATGAAGGTGTCATAAATCGCCGTCTTAGGTCCTGAAACGATGATTTCGGCCATTCTTTTCATTCCTTAACAACGCATAGAAGCTGTAGATCCGTCGAGTCCTTTGGTGTATCAGACTTCAGAATCGCTTTAAGATAAGTTCATGAGAAAGTCATCAATCTACGTATCACCTAATCTAACGAAGAGTTAGGCCATTCACTTTATTCTCCTTACATGCCGAGAAGCAGCAGCTCGAGTCCTTTGGCTTACTACTGCCTAGAAAGGCATAAGGTAAGGTTCATGAAAATGTCAGAAATCGACGTGTCGCGTCCTCCAACGATGATTTCGACCATTCATTTAATTCTCCTTTAACGCATAGAAGCTGTAGATTCGTCGAGTTTTTTGGTATATCACACTTCAGAATCGCGTCAAGATAGGTTCATGAGAAAGTCATCAATCTACGTATCACCTAATCTAACGAAGAGTTAGGCCATTCACTTTATTCTCCTTACATGCCGAGAAGCAGCAGATTCCTCGAGTACTTTGGTGGACTACTGCCTAGAAAGGCGTAAGGTAAGGTTCATGAGAATGTCATAAATCGACGTGTTACGTCCTCCAACGATGATTTCGACCATTCATTTAATTATCCTTCAACGCATAGAAGCTGCAGATTCGTCGAGTGTTTTGCTATATCACACTTCAGAATCGCGTCAAGATAGGTTCATGAGAAAGTCATCAATCTACGTATCACGTAATCTAACGAAGAGTTAGGCCATTCACTTTATTCTCCTGACGTGCAGAGATGCAGCAGATTCCTGGAGTACTTGGGTGGACTACTGCCTAGAAAGGCATAAGGTAAGGTTCATGAGAATGTCGTAAATCGACGTGTCACGTCCTGCAACGACGATTTCGACCGTTCATTTAATTCTCCTTCAAAGTAGAAAAGCTGCAGGTTCGTCGAGTCTTTTGATGTATCACACATCACAATCGCTTCAAGGTAGGTTCATGAGAGAGTCATCAATCTACGTATCACGTAATCTAACGAAGAGTTAGGCCATTCACTTTATTCTCCTGACATGCAGGGAAGCAGCAGATTCCTCGAGTACTTTTGGTGGACTACTACCTAGAAAGGCTAAAGGCTAAGTTCATGATAATGTTATAACTCGACGTCTCACCTCCTCCAACGATGATTCCGGCCATTCAATCAATTCTCCTTCAACTCATAGAAGCTGTAGATTCGTCGAGTCCTTTGGTATATCACACTTCAGAATCGCGTCAAGATAGGTTCATGAGAAAGTCTTCAATCTACGTATCACGTCCTCTAACGACGAGTTATGCCATTCCCTATATTCTCTTGACGTGCAGAGAAACAGCAGGTTCCTCGAGTACTTTGGTGGACTAGTGCCCAGAAAGGCTTAAGGTAACGTTCATGTTAATGTTATAAATCGACGTCTCACGTTCTCCAACGATGATTTCGGCCGTTCATTAGTTCTCCTTCAACGTACAGAAGTTGTTGATTAGTCAAGTCCTTTGGTGTATCACTCATCAGAATCTCATCAAGATATGTTCATGAGAAGGTCATCAATCTACGTATCACGTNCGCTCGATACTCCGTATGCTGTCCTCGATATCACCAGCAAATTGACAATACTTGGGACAGACATACAACTCCCCGTACGGGCCGTTCAGGTAAGCAAACGCCTCACACCTAGTCAGGCTTTGACTTATATCGACTACGTCGACCTCGGAGTTCTCGGTCACTACAACCGCTTTGGGATCTTCTCCACCGTGTTTTCCCACAATCACCATCTCTGAGGGCAATCCTCGAACGTCGTCATCCACGGCAAATGGCTCTTGGAGCAAGGCAACACTGATCCCGTTCTTGCGCATAAGCGCATCGCACATGACCACGGGATCTCCTACCGTTTAGCATTTAGAACTTTTACGGTCGTGTCAGCCATCATGCGTATCTACTTGCTCTATCCTGCACCGTCATTTAGAATATGGGGCAGGATCTTGCCTTGGTCAGGTGACCGTCTGGCAATTTCTGTGCCCGCCAGTTCACACAGCTGACGGGTCTGTCGCAGGCCCTTCGCTGGTAAAGATTTTCTCCACAGCGGAAGCAAAACGCGGAGACTATGCTTATACAGGTTGCTGTTTTGTGCCCAAACCCTAGGCACTTAAAACAGTGCATTAAGTGATCGGTGTTCCCGACCCTGCACGACTGCATGCCGAGGTACATGCTTCTCTCTCGTAGTACGGTTTGCTTCACCCGAGGGGTTACCTCGGGTGTTATCATGCATGTACCACTTGTGCCTTTCCGTACTGCAGGAGACTCCCTCCTACCTCATATTGTCACTCGAGAGGCAAACTCCTCGGATGAAGCCATTTCCTCCAGGTTTTTGTCCTCTTAATTCTGACAACCAGGCTCTTAGTTGGTTTGGACTCCTCGACCTTGGTCATAGCCTTGGTCACTGCCCCTTTGCCGCCCCTCACCATCCTAGAGGGGTGTGGCCTTGTTACCTTGGAGACCATCGCTCCCTCGGCACCCTCCCCCACTTTGTCGCCACCCTTATCCTTGGCCTTGGGTTTTCCGATTCGCTTTCACGGGCCGTACTCAGAAGAATGCGTGTCGTGAACTTTTCTCACTACCCCATCAGCCAGGCTTTAGGCTCTCAGCCTGGTGCGGGAAACACCACTCATCAACCGTCCTGTTGCCTCGCCCTCACCTGCGTCCATGGCCAGAACACCGCCGTTCCCACGGCGGGTCTGTGACCTCACACTACCACCTCCCACGGTTTTTGGACTGGGCTGAACAGGTTCGGACTTCTCAGTGTACGGCTCCTTTACAGCGTCGGACTCGTCATGGGATGAACGAGCCCTTTGCTGGTCGCTAGCCCCGCCAGACACCCCACACCAGCGTAGGGATTCCTCAATCTCACTCGTTGATTCAAAGCAGTTGCTTGATAACGACTTGGCGGGGGCCTGCTTTGGAACCCCCATCCCTGCCGGCTCTGCCCTCTCCGAAGGGGCTGAAGCAGTAACCTTCGTTTTCCATTATTCATTGCATTGTTTTTGGTTGTTCTGAGTGCCTTGCAAGCATTTTTAAGCTGTCGCCCGCTAGCAAAGTCGTGCCCCTTGTGTTTATGAAGTCCTTGAACTCTGATTTGTAATTTTATAAGGTTAACGGAGGCGCCTGTGTCAATTAACAGCTTAACTGATATATTTTTTACTTCTGTAGAAATGTGCGGTAATATTTCGGTCATAATTTTAATGGTATTGACCTTAAAGTTACAATGGTTTTGAAAATTTGAGGGATTTTTATTTAATTGAACCAACAACCCTCTTCTGTTTCGTCCGTTTTCGCGCTAAAATGATTTTCTTCATATTCCGCGTTATCGGAATCATCAATTTCACATTGATCATTTGCAATTTCGCAAGTTTTGATTTTGGATGATTCTGAAGGGAAGCCTTTAAAGGATGGACCCGAAAAACTAGACCTAGAATGCTTATCATTATTACTTGAAAATTTCGAGGTACTGGGTTGTTGAGAGTCAAAATTAGGTTTTACTCAAGAATCATTAGTTGGTTATCTTTTTATAAACGGCTTTCTGATAGCAATTTTATTAGCTGTGTTACTAGGTTTTTGAGTTATAAATTCAGTTAATTTTTCTTGATCAACCCGTTCTTTTAGTCTTTTGTATACTACGAGTGCATGAGAAAAAGCATCTTCAAGTGTTTCAGCTTTAGTATGAACTATTGAAATTTCAACATCTTTAGGGATGTTGTTTAAGAAAGTAGTAGTAGCGATTTTATCAATAAAATCGGAAAGAACTGTAATAGGATCGGAATCATCAGAAATGTTTTTGGTATCGGATGCTGTAAGATCGTCTCGTATTTTAGCGATCTTATTATACGTATCTTTAATTCAAATTTTATTAGAATTTCAATGCATTATTAAATCAAATATTAAACCTTCGGAAGGACGTTCCAATCCAAAATTTGTTATCAATGCTTTTGTTATATTTTCCCACTTATCATAGTGTCTTGTTAAAATTATGCGTCCTGCGCGCTATGACAAACAATTAAGAACAATTCGTAATAGGTATTGCATATCAGAAGTTTTTGAATTTTCTATCGTTTCTACGTAAAGGTGTAACGGCACGTCACCTCATTTGTCCTCTGCGGAAGAAAGTGTAGGCGAGACAACTGTCTTTTTTTTCGACATGTCCGGGTGTATCGGAAGAGGCGAAAGAGAAACACACTTAGAAATTCGGCAGTTCACGAAAAGTCGCGATACACAGAATGTTATTTAATTTGTCCATATTCGACCGTTCAACATAGGGCCACGAAACACGGGATGCACTTAAATTGTCTGTTTTCGCACTTTTTCTTGCGACTCACAAATTAAACGGACGCGAATATCCTACTGACTGCGCCAAATGTTTTATCCCAAAACTGGAACACAGACTTTTTAAAAAAGTTTATTGATACAAAGTA